TCTTGTATGTACATATATGTATATGTATGTATGTACATATATTTTTCCCTTAGCTTCGGCAGATGACTTCGATGTGCACATTTGAATCGTCGCAACAACAATGGTAATTTAGCGAGTGCAAATTGAGTATCTGAGAGATATGTATGAGCGCTTGACTGTGCCCTAATGGGTCCTTTTCTGTTTGCCGCTTTACTTACCTTAGGTACAGATACATATGATTGTATGTAAATACTCGTATGTGCTAAATGCGCGCATGTTTGTCAGCTCACATGAAAAATGAAGGCCAGCAAACATGTCGATTGAGAATATATACCGATTCGGTTTGGCTGTACAAATGTTCCTGCTTGCATATGTACATATGTGTGTATGTATAGAAGGGTACCTAATGTTTCCCTGATGGAATTTGCCAGCACTGAAAAATATTTCCATTTTGCTGCACCAAACTACATACTTATGTACATTGACGCCCAGAAGTATCCATGCAAAAAATGCTACCAATTCGGGGTGATTCCGGGAGCAATCGCAGAGGAACATGCGACTAATACCAGTTTTCATCGCGTTATATATAATGAAATATTTGATTTTGCTTGACCATGTCCTAAGAAGAGATAAGTTGTTCACCTTTATACCCAAACGGGTATAAAAAGCTACTAAGTTTGTCACTTTAAAAAAAAATAAAAATAAAAATAAATTTTATACTATTCAATCACAGGTTAGATAATGGCCATATTTTTAAATTTTGACCTCCGGCTGAACCACTGTGCTATGCTTAGAATCCACTATATTTGATTTGGATGAATTTTGGTCAGAATTTTTCTTTCATCTTATAACGAAGCAAAGAAATTCGAAACTACAAAATTTCACAATTTCCCGGATTTGGCAAGTTTATTTTTTGAATATCTCAAGAACTATTATAGTTACAAAAAAAGGTTCTGGTCTCGTTTCAAAGGAGATATATACATACATACAACCCAGAAAATATGATGAGAAAATAATATGCAAATTAAAGAGCCCTGGGACTGGGCATATTAAATGCAACATTATTTTGAGAAAAGAAAACGTTGCATAACTTTCGAAAACAAAAGTTTAAATTGTTTACCTTTGGCAGAACTTCTTTATATGATAAAAAAGTGATCTGCCCAAAATTGCTCCAAATGAAATATTGTCGATTCTAATCTTTGCACTGGTCGACTTAGGTGCTTATTAATGGTAGATATATATATTTTTTAAGCAATAAGCTGATTTTTTTATGTAGCTATAGCTACTTCCGGCGATTCCTGCTCCGCACTTGGCTTTCTGCATCAACACAAAATCATTGATCTCTAAATAAGCAAAGCGTGAGAATTATTAATATAGGAAATAAAATTTAGCATTTGTTACGCAGTGAAAAGAATTCTCATTAAAACATGCTATGTAAATATGACGTACATATGTACATACATTTATGAATGCACTTCTAATTGCAAAATGCAAACAACTGAAAAAGCACGCACGCCAGAGTTGAATGTACGAATTATTTGTTTTGTAACATAATCGCGAGCAAAGAGCAACAACTATAGCTGTATTCAGGCGTTAATGCTAAATGCATTGCATCGGTGCGAAATGTGAAATTGCGAAATTTTATAAACAGCATTTCCCTTTTTACCAACCATAAGCAAATGCAATGACTGATGCGAAATTTCCCGCTGTATGTTGTTGAAAAAATTCAGCATTTTCACATTTCGTACCGTTGCAATTGCATTTCGCATTAACGTCTGAATACCCCTTAGGTTTGTACAGATACTTATGTATGTATGTAAACATGAATATGTATGTTATGTATACATATCTATTTTTTTATTTGCGTTTTTTTTTTAATTCAATATTTTTTTCTTTTTGATTACACATTAACAAATTGTTTATTCCCAATAGAACTGGGGTTCTTTGTACGATTCCTCGGTGAGTACTCCCTTGTAAGCAGGGACCGTAACAGTTACAACTTTTATTTAAAAAATCGCCCTTTAATAAATATTTTTTTGCTTTTATTTAATTACTCCTTAAATAACAGTTTTTTCTAATTTTCATTTTATAAATCCAAAAAAACGATTATTTTTTATTTTTAAATTATATATCTTAGATGACAGTTACTGAAGACTTTTATCAATATAAATCAGTCACTGACTTTTATTTTTAAAATCATACTTATAAAAGTCATTTGTGTGAGTTGTAGTAAACTTCGGTTCTCCAAAACTTTCTTAACTGCAAAAAAATTATAATGACTTTTATACGTATAACCTAAAAAAATTAAAGTCGGTGACAGACTTTTATTGATGACTTTCATAAATAAAAGTCTTCAATAACTGTTATTTAAGACATGTAATACGAAAATCAAAAATAACTGTTATTTACAGATTATTGAAATAAAAATCAAAAATAATTGTTATTTTGGATTTATAAAATAAAAATCAAAAATAATTGAAATTCTTTTAATTTTGCATAAAAATTATGTACAGATAAAAATTTATTTTCAAATTTGATTCTCGGTGAGAAAAGAAATCGATTGGTATGTATCACTTAGTTGTAGAATATTTCCATCATAGTGAATTTTTCAAACACAGTCTTCATGAATAACTCTTATGTTCGGTCCCTGCTTGCAAATTTACGATTACTCCCCATTGATCCCTATATTTAGTTATGTGCATAAGCGTGTTATTTTTTATACTCCCTTTAACACCGGACTTAACCGGATTACTTGAAGTGTGCGCTAGATTACAAGGCGAAACATGTTTATATACAACCCCATAAAAAGTAGATATGTACTTGTTTTTGCATACTTTTTTGATGGTTGGTGCACTGTCTCTTCCTTCGGTGCCGTATCTACTTTTGAACTTAAATTAAATAATCTGTTCTATTGAAATGGCCTTGAAAGGAATTTCTCCGAGCAGTTGACGCCAAACTTATGTTTATGCCCGTTTACAAAGGAGGAAGGCTATTGGAATTCCCACACTGGAAAACGAATTGAAATGCCTTCCAAGATAAGAGAAAATTTGCCTACGAGTGATTTGGCTACGTACCGAATATACATTCAAATTTAAATGGCTGGAGAGTGGGTAGAATTCTACCTGGTGTTACAACACTTTTCTTCAAAATTATTCTTTACTATCTCATTCTTTCAATATTGTGACGTCACGCCCAGTTGCTCTCAGCTCGATTGACGCAATCTTGTGTTCTATCATTCTTGTAGCCAAAGCCTTTATTCTTCTACTTTCATTGCTGGATCAAGGTGTCATACGAGGCGTGCCAAAATTCAGATTTACTAGCGCTTCTCCTCAGTAGTTGCTAAGCCTGTCCTCAGTCCTCAGTAGTTGCTTTATCTGTGGGAAAAAGCAACAACAATTTATATAGCGAACTTAGCTCAGTGGGCTGGCCACTGGCTTTGTCAGCTGGAGTCGCTGGAAAAAATTCAATGTAATGTAGAAAAACAGCATGGCCACCAAAATTAAAAGAAAATTCTGTAGAACTAAAGCAGATAAAATTCCCCCACTGTGTTATTTAGTGAATGAGTTAACTTTTAACGTTTCAATTTCTAGCTTGGGTCATATGAACAATCTTGGTGGAGTGAACAGGACGTGCACGAATCAGTTCACTCAACCCTTAAATTCTATAGAATTTTCTCCTCAATTTGTTACCCTACATTTGGTATACTACATTGCACTGATTGTTTTTTTAATAACACCGGCAGAAAAAAGTGCCCTGTGTATTTAACCACACCCACCTATCGACATGTATTTCGACCTACTGAGTCCGAATCTCATCACGTCAGGATTTTTCTCTAACCCCAAAAAACATGGTGGATTTTATGTGACAGGCACAATTTTTCGAGGTTAGAAAAGAATCATGACGAGATGAAGTAAAACTCACTTAGATTTGTGTATTTAACAATGTGTGATTAAATTTGGCATTAATTTCATAGGAAACATCCAATAACGTTACATTGAAAAAATATTTAAAAGAGAGCCGCACTGAATTGTCAATCACACCTTGTTTAATTCATCCTGGATAGCCATCTGCTCTCTCAATAGCGTTCTCTACTACTAGTGTTTGGAGCAGTGGTCGGCATTCTAACACATTCAAACGGTTCAATAAGTAAGACTGTGTGCGTTAAATGCACTGCTCAGCTTCAGCTCTTCGTATGCGTGTGAAACACACATGCGCTCAGAGAGCGCTCAGTTAGCTATGTATGGCCTGCCGACCACTGGTTTGGAGCACCGGAGCCATTTATAGTAAAATCTGTTAATTTGGCTATATTTGACCAAGATATAGCTATTTATGTACAAATTAGTTTGCCATGGCCAAATAAAATACGCTTAATAATAATACATTTTAAAGTTTGAATTGTTCAGAAATAAAAATTATATATCGAGATGTATATATATTTTTTATAAAAAAATAAAGCTAATTTTTTTAGCGTATTTTTTCGTAAATTCTTATTATTTTCCTAATTTAACTTCGTAATTTTTTAATTTGTGAATTGTTATTATTTGATCAAAAATATTTAGTTTTGATCAAAATTTTATAGGTTTTATTTTCTTATTTTTTTGATTATTTTTTAAGTTCAACAACTTTATTAAGCTTGAGGCCATTTTTATTGAAAAAATTGTGTGGAGAACAACAATAAAAAAGATCTGTTCGGTGTACAAAAAAAAAGGAATTGCCTTACAAAAATACTTTAAGAGATGTTTTTTTTTATTGCTTGCAAGGTGGTGCGGTCTAATGTTTATTTACATCTCTCTTAAATAATATTGAACTAAACTTGGACATTACTTAATTTCGATATTATCGATTTCCAACTATTGAAGCGTGTGTGCATTCTTGTCATCTACTTATAGCGTATGTATGTACATATGTATGTATTCTTGGGTGTGGGTGTGGGTGTGGGTGTGTGGGTGTGGGTGTGTGGGTGTTGAGCAATTAATATACATATCTATACATAATGTAATACTTCGCTTCTATATTTTCAGTTGTGAAATGGTTCAACTCGCACACATTTGCCCATTACATCTCATTTGAGAGGAAGGTAATGGAATATACGAGTACTTAAGGAAGAATGACTAGCAAAAACTACGAAACGACTATTACAAAAAAAAGGGAGGCAAAAGGGGCGTGAATAAAAGAGGAAGCATGAACAAAACATGAATGACGACAACGAAATTATGTGCACACATACATAGTAGAAGAAGAAACGATAGAGACATCAATGGCGACGTTAACGCCAACAGAAGAGCAGCGCGTTAGAGATTGCTTTATGAAAGCAGCGGAAGCGCGGTGATGTTTGCGGAAATGTGCTCATAGATGGCGAAAGTAAAGGGCGACGACGGTGGAAGCGAAAGTTTGATTAGCCATGAGAGCGGTCGATTAGTATCTAAAGCTCACTCAATAATGAGTTCTGACTATTACTGTCTCTCTCTCTCTCTCTCTAAATACATGCAATACACACAGATGCAATCACAAAAGCACGCACAGAAATATGCACCCATATATGTATGCGCGTATATATATGTACATATGTATGTGAATAGTCATTGCATCCCAGCAAAAACTTTTAACTTTTTTGGAAAGTACTTACCTGTTTTTGTATCAATGGAGTAACGCAATACAAGTCGCCTCAAGACAATTTTCGCTTATCTATTGCATTGCATGTACACTCTAAAAAAATCTGTTGAAAATGCGACTATAAATCGAGTATATTTTTGTTTATTTTTTAAATTCTTTGGTAAATGTACACGATGAATATGTATTTTCCTCGTTAACACATTTTCGTGTGTTAAAATCCTTTTTATTGGCGGATTTGCACAATTCTACGGTTGAAATCAAACAGCAGATGTGTATTTTGTAGCTTGTACACACCATCGTAGTAAATTTACGCACATCACAGCAGCTATATTACAGTCTAAAAAGGTCGAAATTTAAACAAACTATTCGCTAAATAATCGAGCATGTAATTTCGCGAATAATAGGGTAGGAAATCAGTAACCTACCTTTTAGCTAGGAAATCTACACAATTTTTTTTAGAGTGTAATGCAATGGCAAGAAATTTTACTTTTTACTCTCGAAAAGTGGTTCCCCGATTCGGGGTAACCGCTTAACTTTTCGTTTACAGTATGCATTACTTTAACATGTGGCATTGCAGGTAGTCAAATAAATGTAAAATTTGATACAAAAATAAGTGCTTCCGAAAAAATTAAAAGTTTTTGCTGGGATTCGGCAGAAACTTTTGGTTCGAAAGTGAATGCAATATGTGTGTGTGTGTGTATGCGCCTACATGTATGGCAGCGGGGTGGTTGGTTGGTTGGTCGATTGCAGCGCTATTCATAAGCAAATAGAAATGTAACAAAAACAACGTTGCAACTCAGATATATTTATGCACGTATGTGCATGTGAACATACATATATGTACATATACACATGTATGTGTGTAGTGTGCGGATATATAGTATAAAACCAATATGGCGGACATGCGCAATTGCGCTCAACTTGAACTTGAAATTTCGTGATTGCATGTCATGCAGCGAAGGCGATTGCAGCTGCAACAGCAACAGCAGCCGAACCCGAAACAAAAGCAGAATCAGCAAACAGACACACAAGCAAGAATCGAAGCAGAATCAGAGAAATAGAGAAACATAAACGGGCGTCCATGCAATCCCAACGTCCATAGGACACAGGACACAGCACACAGAACACAGGAGTACAAGGACACGAGAGGTTGCGTAACACTGACAATGAATTTGAACAGTGACAATTGGGCGATTGCATCAGTAGCTGGCGGCAGCGGAATAGACCAGCAACGAGCGAAAATTTCAAGCACCAATTTTGCGATTATTTGTTCTTGTGCGGTTGACCGCAATTTGGCAGATTCCATCAGGTAAGTACATTTTGTATATTATTTGGAAATTTTTCGTGTTAGCAATAAGTTGTGTAAAGGTCAAAGATTAGAGCGTCAGCCAGCAAATCGTGGAAAACATATTGGGTGGGGTGTGCGGTTGTAGTGATCGAATGTAGTGTGCGCGAAGTGCAGTGTTGACGAAATCAATTAACGGAGAAAAGCTTGCACGAAATGTAGTCATCAAAAAGTATGTACATACATATATAAATTTCACTTTTTAACTGTACGTGAAGTGAAGTAAATTCAATGCAATACAAAGATACAATAAAAGAGCGAGGCGAATTCAAAGGCACACATCAAATGGTGTGGAGGAGCGTAAAGTGTGGTCAAAAAGAGGGAATTCGAGAAAGAGCTGACTTTCTGTCTATTTATTAACTTTATATCGTACTCTGAGCGCTAAAGCTCACACACGTACACACACACACACACACACACACACACACACACACACACACACACA